CCTTGAGCACATTTGCGCAGTTCAAACCGATTCACTGAGAAACAAAACAATCCTTCAATCCTTGTGAATAGCGCCGAAACCTTTTAAAGGGCCCATCGCGTTTTCAGTCTGAACAAACAACCTGAAAAAGATCTGCACACCTGATGAATATTGGGCTCGCTATTCAGAAAACACTCCAAGGTCAAAACACAGCTGTCTGCTTTTTTTGGGTATTTGAGCTGACTCACATGGATGTTCTTGAAAGAAATCGCTTTTCGGAGGATACTATAGTCCTGTCTCTCGGCGTCCTCCACAAAACCCAGACCCGACTGATTTCAATAAAAGCGTGCACGGCGACTGAATGCCTAGTGTGCACTTCTGCCCTTCATTCATGCGCCGGGAGCTGACGGAGGCGTCGCGGCGCTCGGTAAAACGGTTGCGCACTAGAAATAAACTAGACTAAAACATCAAACGAGGCTCTGTATGAAGCGGGTACTGGCTGTGACTAGCAAGAGCGCTGTGTTTATGTCACCAATGCTGAGATATGGCTTGCTTCCTTGTTGTGTTGTTGCAGGGTTCAGGCCATAGACACGGTGTATAGATGGACAATGCTAACCCCTGAGTTCAAGCAAGCCCAATACAGGAAGTGCTCATGAATGAAGTTTCGTTCTGGCACCTATTGACTTACATTGAAAAGTAACCTTGTGTAGCTCAATAACCGTCTGTGTCACACCCACCATTTTGGGCTTAAAAAATGCCTGCGTGTGAAAGTCAGATCTCGTCGGACTTCCGAAGCTAAGCAAGGAAAAGCCTGGTTTGGACTGTGACGGGAGACCTCTGCAGCTGTAAAGTGCCAAACTGTTGTTGTATCCTTAGGCAAGACAATTCACCCACATTGCCTAGAATGAGTCTGGTGTGTGTGTGAATGGTTAGTGGTGGTCGGAGGAGCTGATGCCACATACTAGTTGCCTCGCTTCTGTCAATGTGCCCCAGGGCAGCTGTGGCAAATGTAATAGTAAATCACCACCGTGTATGGAGTGAAAGAATAACATGTGAAACGTCAAAACGAGTGTCCATAATGGAGCTATATAAAACCGATGCATTATTATTATTATCATTTTTCATTATTATCTTGCTGTTTGTACTTTGATATTGTCATTCCAGTTAAGAATCAGAAAAGGATTGACCAATCAGATGCCTTAGTTTCAGGGGCTTGCTTCAGTAACATGCCTGTCCCTGTTACAGCGCAAAGCCAACGCCACTCAAGAAATTCCAAATAAAAGGAAATTGGCTCCAGCTAGCTTATGTTCAGATTGGCCTCTTCTTGATGCTAACAATATGGAAGTCCAGTCCACACCTAATAATGTATGCGGTCCATTGTTCAAGGCCTGTTTGTCCAGCACTAGTTCATATGCCGTAAAGATGGACAATGTCAAACAGCTCGTCCTATAAGTCTATAAATCCGTCGTGCACCCACTACACACTCAGCTTCTTGGATCAAAAACACGAATCAAATCCACACAAATCCACTTTGTACGATCGCAGTGCTTTTCCTTTGATCATTTCTTTGTAAATCTAGATTGTGTCCCCTAACAACTGACCAATCAGGAGTCTTCTTGCCCCTGAATTTGGCTCCAGCTGGTGAGTAGCGCAAGCGAAAATGGACCAGCTGCTGATTTGAATACACATGTTTGCGCTTGGTTATTTTCAAAATCATCTCGATGTACTTTCAATTTTACGACGCTTTTGGATTTACTTTGGGAATTTCAATAATTACATTAATAATTATAATATTTCATTATTCATTCACTCCATGCCCAGTGGTGATGAACTACTACTGTCGCCACAGCTGCCCTGGGACAGACTGACAGGCAAGTTACCCGTTCATCTTCATTTCATCATGACCAATGGGCAGCACAACAGCATCATGGCACATACCGTTTCATTTACTGTGATAGCTCGCCTGCGGAGTGACCTACGACCCGGCGTTCTCTTACATTTACACAACCTGTTCTTATGGAGGTTATAAATAAATACATCGCTTGACACACTCTATATAAAAGGCGGGGTATAAGTGTTAGTTCAGGGTCTCTATCGCTTCCTCACTAAACACAGACATGAAGAGCCTCCAGGACATGTGACAAAGGGCATGAATAAATATGGACTTTTCACACACGCCGCCATGTGAGGCTGACTTATAATGCGCCAAAGATAAAGTATTGATGTTGCGGCCAGGTGCCAGGGAGAGATCGTGAGATAGCTCTGCTCACAAATACATCATTATCTTTTGTTTTTTGCGCTATGGAAAATCAAACAACAACAACAAAATGGCTGCGATCGATGGCACATGCTCTTTGACTGGGGCCATAATGAGGATATATTATCTGTGGCCAGTTGTCTGCTTTGTCAGAAAGGTGATTTCAATGCATTTGATCTCCACAGAGGAACACAATGGCCATGTAATCATTCTGCTTGGATTTGGACCAATTCATAAATTTTCTTCCACTTATCCTCTGCTGTTTGTGGGGACAGTGGGGTCAGCGAGGGGGGGGACGCAGAATGCCTCCGGCGTGTCCTGGAGGCCTCCTCCCACTGGAACATGTCTGGAACAGATGCCAGTGGAAGAGCGGCAGATCTACTCTGAACTCAACAGCCACAGAGCAGATGAAATTGGTCGTGACCGGATTTTCATCAATGTCTGTCTGTCTGCCCCATAGCAGCCATGGCAGCTGTGGCTACAATATACCGGAGCTCCACCATTGTACCATTGTGAGAGGAGTAAATAAACAAAGGGGGTCAAACTCATGATCTGAGGCCAACTTTAGCAACATAAGAGCTGTTAGGGCCAAAAGTATGAAAAATATTTACTTTTATTTTCATTTTTTTATTTTGACAAATTGATTTTATTTAACATTTCATTTAATTTCATTTTTCATTTCATTTTCAACCCCTTTGACCATTTCTGGTTATTTAACATAACGTCTGAATATGTTTTTTCCTGGTTTGTTTGGGTTTAATCACAACTGGGCCAAATATAAAAAAAGATGTAATTGAAGATTCATAGTTAATTATAAAAAAAAAAAATCTTTGGCCTTAACTTTACTTGTTTGTTAACTTTTTTAGAACAGATTAAATTTCATGGTTGTTTTCCTGAGAAAATACGCTTTAAAATGAAGAATAGCATGCCATAGTAGTCCATTACCATCAATGCCGCAAGTTACTGTCACACTGATCATTTCAGGGGCCACTAACAATGGTCTTGTGGGTCAGATTTGACCCATTCGGGCCTGTCGGAGGAGCTGGGCCAACTGCGCCATCACACAGGCCTCGCTATCTTCCTACCTTTTTTTTTAAATTATCATTATTGGGTTTTTTAAATTATTTTTTAAATAAATACACTAGTTCACTGTCTTTTCGTCTCTGTAAAAGCCACATAAAACAAATACCTAGGCAAAAAATATATATATATAACAAAAATGTGACTTTGCCACACAGTAATTATTGCGCGTTCTGCCATAATCTAACTATTAGAAGAAGAAGAAGAAGACTCGTATGCCATTTTGACACAGGAGGAAAGAGCCATGTCAGCTGCAAGAGAGCGCGACCAATTTCGCAAACACGAATTGGGTTGCGGTGTGTGTGTGTGTGTGTGCGCGTGCGTGTGTGTGTGCGTGTGCGTCCGACGGTGCATTGGAGTAAGGACACACGGCTGCGCGCGGGCTGCTTCTCGTCACGCACCGCGCGAGGCGATGCTGAATTTATGTCAAAGATTACAGGGGACAGGGAAAACTTTCCTCAGATCTGGGGGAAAAAAGTGTCAGCGTAGAGCCTCGCACCCCTTGCGACAGGCCTGGTCCCATGGGCCTGACTTTGACAATAAACAATACACATAATCGTAACGTGTCCTTGTGACTCTTGACGTCTGCGAAACATTATGATTAAACATTACTTACTTATCTTCTTTTCTTCTTTATTATTAATGTTGCAGGGTGATAGTGTTCAACATCTAACTCACATTTATGGATCCTCAGTGGCTTTATGTTACTGCATTGTCTGCAATATTCAACAGGGAGACATTTAGAATCTATGTCGAAACAATTCACAATATTATTAATGAGCAATAATACCACAGGGCTTGGATACATGCAGATGTGTTGGCATATCATCCAACATTGTGGAAACTAACATCTCCATGGAGACAAGAGGATGGAAACAGTGCACTTTATTATTATTATTGTTATTATTATCATCATTATCATTATTATTTTTTTCTATCATGCAGTAAGTTAGTACAGTTTTGTATTTGTTATATTGCTTGTATTTTATTCTGAAACTAACTTGTTGGTGGCGTAAAGATCCATTAGTGATTAGTGTTTCTGGAATAGGAAGAGGACAAATTACACCTGGAGTAGCCCTCTGTCCACTGGAGTCTCTCACGTCTTAAGCTGGTTTACAATCGATATGCATTGATAGGTGCAGCAGAATCCAGTCTGTGAGCTCTCCAGTTCAGTCCACCGCCGTGACTTTGGCTTTTGACACATGTCTTCTCTAGTGGATTAAGTTACCGTACACAGATCTCCCTTTGGCAAACATTACAACCTACAGTGGAAGCCCTGGGGATTAAATACATCGTGTGAAGAGATATACTAAAACAATATGAAAAGTGACCTAAAACTAATTACGTCTTTTATATTGTGAGAAAGCACTTACCCGACAAGCCATGGATATTTTAACACCTTCATATTTCTTTATGATATTTTATGTACTTTGTTTGTGGTATTGTATTTTAATGTAGAATTTAAGTCCAATATAAATACTATGGTAACACTTTACATTACGGGCCGGTAAGTCCATGGTACTTACAGTGGTACTTCTAGGTACTTACAGTGGTACTTCTAGGTACTTACAGTGGTACTTACGGTGGTACTTACGGTGGTACTTACGGTGGTACTTACGGTGGTACTTACGGTGGTACTTACAGTGGTACTTACAGTGGTACTTACAGTGGTACTTCTAGGTACTTACAGTGGTACTTCTAGGTACTTACGGTGGTACTTACGGTGGTACTTACGGTGGTACTTACGGTGGTACTTACGGTGGTACTTACAGTGGTACTTACAGTGGTACTTACGGTGGTACTTACGGTGGTACTTACGGTGGTACTTACGGTGGTACTTACAGTGGTACTTACAGTGGTACTTACGGTGGTACTTACGGTGGTACTTACGGTGGTACTTACGGTGGTACTTACGGTGGTACTTACAGGGGTACTTACGGTGGTACTTACGGTGGTACTTACGGTGGTACTTACGGTGGTACTTACAGTGGTACTTACGGTGGTACTTACGGTGGTACTTACGGTGGTACTTACGGTGGTACTTACGGTGGTACTTACGGTGGTACTTACGGTGGTACTTACGGTGGTACTTACAGTGGTACTTACAGTGGTACTTCTAGGTACTTACAGTGGTACTTCTAGGTACTTACGGTGGTACTTACGGTGGTACTTACGGTGGTACTTACGGTGGTACTTACGGTGGTACTTACGGTGGTACTTACAGGGGTACTTACGGAGGTACTTACGGTGGTACTTACGGTGGTACTTACAGTGGTACTTACAGTGGTACTTACAGTGGTACTTACAGTGGTACTTCTAGGTACTTCTAGGTACTTACAGTGGTACTTCTAGTGGTACTTCTAGGTACTTATTGTGGTACTTACAGTGGTACTTCTAGGTACTTACAGTGGTACTTAGAGGTACTTATTGTGGTACTTACAGTGGTACTTCTAGGTACTTATTGTGATAATTCTAGATACAGCTGTAACTTAGTAATTCAAGGATACTACAGCATTATTCCTATGTAGTAAATGTGGTACTTCTACATACATACATACAGAGGTCATTTGTAGGATTGTTTGACTATAAAACATAAAACAACATTATGTAAAACAAACGTCTTTATTAATATGGAATAAGTAGCACAGAAAGGACAGTATAAATACATTTAATGCATATTTCAAAACAAGTTTCAAGGACAAGGGAAACACTGCAAGAACTAGGTACCCAACCCAAGTAACAAGAATTACACATTACCAGGTACTTACCAGCCAAGTACCAGGTACTTACCAGCAAGTACCAGGTACTTACCAGCAAGTACCAGGTACTTAACAGCAAGTACCAGGTACTTAACAGCAAGTACCAGGTACTTACCATAGGGACTGGCCCATAATAAGACAAAGGACTTTAACATAAGTACCAGTGATAACACCAGTAATTATACAGTAAGTACCAGGTACTTACCATAGGGACTGGGCCATAATAAGACAAAGGACTTTAACATAAGTACCAGTGATAACACCAGTAATTATATAGTAAGTACCAGGTACTTACCATAGGAACTGGCCCATAATAAGACAAAGGACTTACCCATAAGTACTAGTGATACCAGTAATTATATAGTATACCATGTACTTACCAGCAAGTACCATGTACTTACCAGCAAGTACCAGGTACTTACCATAGGGACTGGCCCATAATAAGACAAAGGACTTTAACATAAGTACCAGTGATAACACCAGTAATTATACAGTAAGTACCAGGTACTTACCATAGGGACTGGCCCATAATAAGACAAAAGGACTTTAACATAAGTACCAGTGATAACACCAGTAATTATATAGTAAGTACCAGGTACTTACCATAGGAACTGGCCCATAATAAGACAAAGGACTTACCCATAAGTACTAGTGATACCAGTAATTATATAGTATACCATGTACTTACCAGCAAGTACCAGGTACTTACCAGCAAGTACCAGGTACTTACCAGCAAGTACCAGGTACTTACCAGCAAGTACCAGGTACTTACCAGCAAGTACCAGGTACTTAACAGCAAGTACCAGGTACTTACCAGCAAGTACCAGGTACTTGCTGGTAAGTACATGGTATACTATATAATTACTGGTATCACTAGTACTTATGGGTAAGTCCTTTGTCTTATTATGGGCCAGTTCCTATGGTAAGTACCTGGTACTTACTATATAATTACTGGTGTTATCACTGGTACTTATGTTAAAGTCCTTTGTCTTATTATGGGCCAGTCCCTATGGTAAGTACCTGGTACTTACTGTATAATTACTGGTGTTATCACTGGTACTTATGTTAAAGTCCTTTGTCTTATTATGGGCCAGTCCCTATGGTAAGTACCTGGTACTTGCTGGTAAGTACCTGGTACTTGCTGTTAAGTACCTGGTACTTGCTGGTAAGTACCTGGTACTTGCTGGTAAGTACCTGGTACTTGCTGGTAAGTACCTGGTACTTGCTGGTAAGTACCTGGTACTTGCTGTTAAGTACCTGGTACTTGCTGGTAAGTACCTGGTACTTGGCTGGTAAGTACCTGGTACTTGCTGGTAAGTACCTGGTACTTGCTGGTAAGTACCTGGTACTTGGCTGGTAAGTACCTGGTACTTGCTGGTAAGTACCTGGTACTTGCTGGTAAGTACATGGTACTTGCTGGTAAGTACATGGTATACTATATAATTACTGGTATCACTAGTACTTATGGGTAAGTCCTTTGTCTTATTATGGGCCAGTTCCTATGGTAAGTACCTGGTACTTACTATATAATTACTGGTGTTATCACTGGTACTTATGTTAAAGTCCTTTGTCTTAATATGGGCCAGTCCCTATGGTAAGTACCTGGTACTCACTGTATAATTACTGGTGTTATCACTGGTACTTATGTTAAAGTCCTTTGTCTTATTATGGGCCAGTCCCTATGGTAAGTACCTGGTACTTGCTGGTAAGTACATGGTACTTGCTGGTAAGTACATGGTATACTATATAATTACTGGTATCACTAGTACTTATGGGTAAGTCCTTTTCTTATTATGGGCCAGTTCCTATGGTAAGTACCTGGTACTTACTATATAATTACTGGTGTTATCACTGGTACTTATGTTAAAGTCCTTTGTCTTATTATGGGCCAGTCCCTATGGTAAGTACCTGGTACTTACTGTATAATTACTGGTGTTATCACTGGTACTTATGTTAAAGTCCTTTGTCTTATTATGGGCCAGTCCCTATGGTAAGTACCTGGTACTTGCTGTTAAGTACCTGGTACTTGCTGTTAAGTACCTGGTACTTGCTGGTAAGTACCTGGTACTTGCTGGTAAGTACCTGGTACTTGGCTGGTAAGTACCTGGTAATGTGTAATTCTTGTTACTTGGGTTGGGTACCTAGTTCTTGCAGTGTTTCCCTTGTCCTTGAAACTTGTTTTGAAATATGCATTAAATGTATTTATACTGTCCTTTCTGTGCTACTTATTCCATATTAATAAAGACGTTTGTTTTACATAATGTTGTTTTATGTTTTATAGTCAAACAATCCTACAAATGACCTCTGTATGTATGTATGTAGAAGTACCACATTTACTACATAGGAATAATGCTGTAGTATCCTTGAATTACTAAGTTACAGCTGTATCTAGAATTATCACAATAAGTACCTAGAAGTACCACTGTAAGTACCACAATAAGTACCTCTAAGTACCACTGTAAGTACCTAGAAGTACCACTGTAAGTACCACAATAAGTACCTAGAAGTACCACTAGAAGTACCACTGTAAGTACCTAGAAGTACCTAGAAGTACCACTGTAAGTACCACTGTAAGTACCACTGTAAGTACCACCGTAAGTACCACCGTAAGTACCACCGTAAGTACCCCTGTAAGTACCACCGTAAGTACCACCGTAAGTACCACCGTAAGTACCACTGTAAGTACCACCGTAAGTACCACCGTAAGTACCACCGTAAGTACCACCGTAAGTACCACCGTAAGTACCACCGTAAGTACCACCGTAAGTACCTAGAAGTACCACTGTAAGTACCTAGAAGTACCACTGTAAGTACCACTGTAAGTACCACCGTAAGTACCACCGTAAGTACCACCGTAAGTACCACCGTAAGTACCACCGTAAGTACCACCGTAAGTACCACTGTAAGTACCTAGAAGTACCACTGTAAGTACCTAGAAGTACCACTGTAAGTACCATGGACTTACCGGCCCGTAATGTAAAGTGTTACCAATACTATTATTATTATTATTATTATTATATTCATGGGTTTCAAAGGGATGAGAATGTGTTGCCATAGTAGTAAACAATTTAAATAATCTCAAATAATCTGACTATAACTGACTTTATAACCCAATGTATTAGCTGGTTTATAGCACTATATTCTATCACTGATAATTAATTAGGAGTCATGTCCTGTCCAATCAATGGAAAAGTTTATCTGGCCCCTTATTGGTTGGATAAAAATTGCCATAGTTGGAACATATCCAAGGTTTGCCATTGATCCATTTAATTTACCTTTTGATATAAAACCGAGGGCTGTCATGTCACCCATAGTCTTTGCCTTTCCGCAGAAGCCGATTAAAGCCAACTCGAACAAGCTAGCCAGATTTCATGCAAATGTGTGTGTCGCAACGCCGGCCTGTCCTCGCTGGTGCAGTTTAGAAGCCAATACTGAATTCAGGCTCCTGATTGGTCAGTCGTTTGGGATCTGGATCCGAGAGAGTGCATTTATTTCTTTCAGCAAAAAACGGTGAGTGTGAAACAAACAGAAACTGAGCCGGAGGAGTTTACTTTTCAGTGAGTTGGAGTCAAACCTTTTCCATCTGTATTTCTTTGAGACACTGGGATAGCATTTTCCATCTATATTTAAACCATTTTGAATAAGCAAAACATGTTATGACAGAGAAGATTGTTTAGTTTGTTTTTGTGATTTTTACCCCTTTGAAAAGCCATGAAATGAGGCGCTATACTTAATAATCCTCCAGCTCCGGTAATCCTGACCAAGCCGAGCATCAACATGTGGAATTGTGTCCCCAGGCGCTACACTGCGGCCACTACTGCTCTTTACAAAGTTGCCCTCGTGGCATTGCATGATGGGTCAGATGCAGAGGACAAATTGCCCTCATGGGGATAAATAAAGTAAACCTTTAACCTTTGTAGTAATTTTTCATCAGCCTGGCATGTGAAGAGCAGGGCACCATCTCTTTGAACACCATCACACGTTCTCCAGGCCCTTAATCTTCATACATATATATTTTTGATTTATTTAGTATGGACACAACAGTTAAATTGGACAGACGTTGTAACTTTAGTGTTATAGCAAAAGCATGCTAATTTTCAACACTTGTCCATAGGAGGCTTAAGAACAGATGCATGCATTTAACCCTCTCCAGGTAGGCATTGCAGATTTGCAACAACTTTTATTATTAACTAACTCCTCCACATCCATATTAGTTGATCTTAAACAATACACAATTTTCCACCTGCTCACCAGGGGACAGAGCAGTCTCACTTGTCTCAACTGCAAACAATGATAGAGAAATATATATAGATACAGTAAAAGCCAATTAGAAGATTATATCTCCTCTGTATTTTTCCCAGGGTCAGCTCTATTTACCACAGTGGGTCAATGTTGTAAATCTGCAACACCCCAGAATGCATTTCTTGGTCTGTCTTTCTAGGTCTCTCTCAAAAAAAGTAAGGCAGGATTAAATATTAATGCCCCATATGATAATTTCCCCAAATATCAGACTACCCTGTCATCGAAATTGAATTTGGGCCCTGAGAGGATTGAAATATACAAATATACAAATTATCAAAGGTGCAATTCATTAAACATTTGCCCGGAATTCAGCCACAGTTTCAGACGTCTGGTAAAGACATTTAAGTCACTTTGTAATTTTCGGTCAGTGAGAAGAACGTTCCACAGTGGCGCAGAGGTTAGCGCGTCACGGCAAGAAGGTCCTGGGTTTGACTCTACCTCCAGGCTTGTCTCTGTCTCACTAACAACATGTACAATAGATTTGACATTCACTTCCTGTACGAGAATCCCGCTCCCATCTCTGTGTAGAGTGAGAGGACAAATACCCACAACAGCTGTAAAGTGCTTTTTGCGACACTGGTCTGGTCTGTGAAAGGCGCTACACAGATAAAGATTATTTACTACCATCTTCAGCAGCACTCACCTGTATGAGCCGCCCCTGCTCCGTCTGCAGAGTGCTGATGTCTTGTCCCAGGCTGCTCTGCCCCCTCCTCAGAGACTCGTAATCCATTTTTAACTGCCCCGCGTGTGCCGACAGCTTGGCCACCTCCTCCGCCAGGCTGACCAGCAGAGCCCGGTCCTGGCCCTTCACAGACTTCAGGTCCGAGTCGTGATCCGTCAGCGAGTGGAGCAGCGAGGTCTGAACTCCCTCCAGACGCAGGAAGTTACTGTTGTAGTCGGGGCAGTTGGGGTCAATGAAGATGTTGATGCGTGACCCGTCGCCCCTCTCGATAGTGACCAGGGCGTTTCCTTCCTCCTGATTGGTGGAGATGTGCGGCATGCCGTCGGACATGGGCGGGGCCTGGTAGTGGTTCATGAAGAGGATGGTGCCGGTGACGGTGACGGCCAGCAGCACGGCCACAAACAGCAGGATGGTGCAGAGCAGGTAGCTGCAGCTCATCCGCTGTGAGAGAACACAAGGGAGAGGAAATGTGTGGTTAAAATAAAGCCAAAGTCAAATTCATCTATGGTAAACAGATGAAAAGAATCTGAACACTCAAACTAGAAAATCAGAATCAGAATCATTTTTATTGCCATGTAAGGAACAGGAAGCCACAGACCAGGAAACTGCTTTGGCTCTCGGTGCAAACAAGTCAAAAGAAGAGAGTTTGAGAATTGAGTAAGGCGTAATACAAATCAACAAACATTTCTAAGATATAAAAATTAAACTTATTACAATTATTAGTGCTATTATCAGTAGTTTATACTTGCCTCTTATTTTTCCATTTCTTATTTTGTTTCTTTAGTATTATTATGTTCAAGATAGAGATTTTAAACTTGTTCTTTGATGCTACTTCTTGATGCTAGAGGTTTAGCTATTGTTCAATTATCTTGTGTTGTGTGTTCCTCTTTCCTACTGTCCTATAACTTGTGATAGGACACTGAAATTTGCCCACCGTGGGACGAATAAAGGATCTCTTCAACTACTCTTAATCTTACTTGAAAAAAAAAGAAAGTTGATTGTTGATGATTCAGTTCTGGATCACCTCCAAACAAATAATTCTTTTTGACTTAATTTGTGAAATAACTCACAAACCCCAATGAAAACACAAGATTAAAACTGATGTAGACCTGTTTCACTCTATTCAGATTCAGTTTATTTGCCATTTGCAGTTCAAAAAAACCACATTGGAATACATTTGCAAAAGTCACCAGTGTGCACAAATACAGACAGAACACAACATTAAAAGCACAGAAATAAACAAATAAAACAGTAAACAATTGTCACTGAGAAAAACGATTCGACTAAAGCAGTTTCAATACAGGTGCAAAAACATTAATTATATCCCCATTCCCCGATCATTCGCTGTGAGGGGAAGAGCTAATGTGTTGTCAAAATTATGCCGAGTCAAATTTGGGGTTTTATATTTTCATTTGTTTTAGTATATATCGTTATTATAGATTTTTCTTGTGTTGTGCTCCTTGTCCCAACTGTTGAATTAATCTAATTTAAGCAAATGAAAAGATGACAAAAACGCAAACTAGAAAAGCACTCGTAGGGGTGCAGTTACATTCCTTGTAAAAATATACCTGGATCGCTTCCAAAACCAAATCATATTTTCCTTGACTCATTCCAGAGACAAAGAACTCATTCAAATATGCTCTTAACTGTTTGTTTCCTCGCTAATTAACAAACAAACCCCACTGAAAAATCAAATCAACCTCTTTCCCTATCGTCCCATTCCCACAGGCTCTTGTCTCGTCTTTAGTCTGAAAACACACCTTTATGAAAAAGTTCCAAAGCTTCTCCAAGAATCACTGAGAAACACAAAGCTGCATTTTCCACAAAATATAGAGCACCACAAGTAGGAACAGAACTGTTTTAGAAGGATTCCGCTTTCCATAACTTACACAAGTGTTCGATGTCTGCATACATTAGTCTGGACGGGTTATTAGAGCTACTTATAAATATCTAAATATCTAAACCCTAAAACCTAAAACAACAAATATCTTGCTCCTGCATTTAAGCATGACTATTTCTCCTGGGAAGTGTGCAGTAAGTGGACGTTACAGGCATGTACAAACTAAGGCCTGTGGCTGAGGCCCATTTTATGTGGCCCTCTGTCTTGCTTACAAAGTACTATATTGTGAATACAAGTTCAGTGTCATCCAGCCAACTTCAGCTACACCAATATAGACATGTTGTAACTCGTAAAGCTCAGGGCCTCTAGAATTCAGTAGATACTAAAACTCAGCTCTGTTAAAGATAATTCTAAAGGTTAGACCAGTCTGTGATCCAGTCAAAACTGTTTTTTTGTTTGTTTTTATTACGGGTGGTCTCCCCATGGATACGTCTAGTAAGTTTACCTCTTACAAAAAAGTAAAAGGCTCTCCTGCAATAGATATACAGTGCCTTGCGAAAGTATATTGTATATAATATTGAACCTTTTAACATTTCGTTAGATTTCAGGCTTCAAACATGAAGATATAACATTTTTACTTTTTGTCTTGAATCAACAACAAGTGGAACACAATCGTGAAGTGGAACAACATTTATTGGATAACTTAAACTCTTTTAACAAAACTGAAAAGTGGGACGTGCAATATTATTCGGCCCCTTTACTTTCAGTGCAGCAAACTCACTCCAGAAGTTCAGTGAGGATCTTTGAATGATCCAATGTTGTCCTAAATGACTAATGATGATAAATCACCTGTGTGTAATCAAGTCTCCGTATAAATGCACCTGCTCTTTGATAGTCTCAGGGTTCTGTTTAAAGCGCAGAGAGAACCATGAAGACAAAGGAACACACCAGGCAGGTCCGAGATACTGTTGTGGAGAAGTTTAAAGCCGGATTTGGATACAAAAAGATTAGACCACTAGAAAGTATCAGACCACTGCAAATCTACCAAGACCCGGCCGTCCCTCCAAACCTCCATCTCAAACAAGGAGAAGACTGATCAGAGATGCAGCCAAGAGGCCCATGATCACTCTGGATGAACTGCAGATAACTACAGCTGAGGTGGGAGAGTCTGTCCATAGGACAATCAGTCGTGCACTGCACAAATCTGGCCTTTATGGAAGAGTGGCAAGAAGAAAGCCATTTCTCAAATATATCCATAAAAAGTCTTGTTTAAAGTTTTAGCACAAGCTACCTGGGAGACACACCAAACATGTGGAAGAAGGTGCTCTGGTCAGATGAAACCAAAATCAAACTTTTTGGCCACAATGCAAAACGATATGTTTGGCGTAAAAGCAACACAGCTCATCACCCTGAACACACCATCCCCACTGTCAAACATGGTGGTGGCAGCATCATGGTTTGGGCCTGCTTTTCTTCAGCAGGGACAGGGAAGATGGCTAAAATTGATGGAAAGATGGATGGAGCCAAATACAGGACCATTCTGGAAGAAAACCTGTTGGAGTCTGCAAAAGACCTGAGACTGGAACGGAGATTTATCTTCCAACAGGACAATGATCCAAAACATAAAGCCAAATCTACAATGGAATGGTTCACAAATAGACGTATCCAGGTGTTAGAATGGCCAAGTCAAAGTCCAGACCTGAATCTAATCGAGAATCTGTGGAAAGAGCTGAAGACTGCTGTTCACAAACGCTCTCCATCCAACCTCACTGAGCTCGAGCTGTTTTGCAAGGAAGAATGGGCAAGAATTCCAGTCTCTCGATGTTCAAAACTGATAGAGACATACCCCAAGCGACTTGCAGCTGTAATTGCAGCAAAAGGTGGCGCTACAAAGTATAAGCGCAAGGGGGCCGAATAATATTGCACGCCCCACTTTTCAGTTTTTTATTTGTTCAAAAAGTTTAAATTATCCAATACATTTCATTCCACTTCACGATTGTGTCCCACTTGTTGTTGATTCTTGACAAAAAATTACATTTTTATATCTTTATGTTTGAAGCCTGAAATGTGGCGAAATGTTGAAAGGTTCAAGGGGGCCGAATACTTTAGCAAAGGCACTGTATATATATATATATATATATATATATATATATATATATATATATATATATATATATATATAAAAACAAAATCGAGTGAATGGACAGTCTATGATTTGAAAAGCATGGTATTTGTATATTTATGTGTTTGTTTATTTGGGATGTGCATTAATTATCATCCATTCTGTAAATATGACTTTCCTAATGCATAGCTGTAGCACCGTCTTAGATGCGCTTTCATTATAAGCTGTGGAAAAATGCATGTCTGTGTCTCGAGATCCTCCAGAGGCGTCAGATTACGGCAGAATCTGCTCACGGAGCTCGGCCATGAATGTATTATATTATTACTCTGGTATTGACAAACACGTTAGCAGCACTTGTTTACAGTCACGGCTCTCTGATTGGCTGCTGCACGTTCGATGCAAGCGAGGAAGTTGGGCAATGTTCATCTCCTCCTGAGGTCGTACGTTACCATTGACTCCATGTACACTCGGAGTGAAACCCGTAAGACTACATTCACGAGTAACTGCATCTTCTTTAAAGAAAACTAGCACAACTATTTGGTGTATTCAACACGTCCAATGCGACTGTCAGACCCCAACAAGGACCATTTTATGTCTTGTGTTCAAATCCCATACATGCTATTTTCTCCACATGCTGCTGATGGTGATTATGACTAGGCTTTGAATAGTAAGTTTACACATTGGAGGGGTTTGTCCATTTGTGCAAGAGAAAAGGCAACGGTTTGTGTTCTTAGCATGACTTACTGCTAAGCGTTGCCTCTGAAACATGATTATACAGATTAAACCAAACATTGCGTACAAAATGTTTTATGCGCTGGTGGTGGCAGATTTTTTTGTCCATATCCACGAAGCTGGGAACGGCTCTCACATTAAAGACGTATATTTATTTTCCGAGTTTCGCTCAATTTCCAAAGGGCATACTATTGATTTGCTGCGACCGTTCCAAATGTCAGTAATGTCCAATAACATTCAACAACACGATACTTTTCTAACCCTAACAATAAACTTACATGAGAAAAAAAAATCCCAGGCAATTTCTTGAACATGACAAATAATTTTCTTTTCAAGCCCATGTTGCAATTAAACTTGAGTACTTGACACCTTCTTCACCTGACACTTTAGGTTAAGTCAAATAACCTTTTTACAGGTAATTTGCGGGCGGGCCGAGCATTAACAAACGATCTGACGGAATAAAACTAAAAATCAAACCAAAGTAAAACATTTTTTTTTTACAACGCTATATTGGCAGCACAGCGACTGGACTCCTGCTGGTGCCAGAGTACGGACTAAACAAGGGGATAATGAAAGCCAGGCGGAACACAGTTTTGTTTAGCAGTGCTTATGTCTGGACTGATTTTACACATCAATTTGTTTTTCAATCAGTCTTAGTTTCAAAAGCCCTAAATTACAACAGCAGTCGTCTCCGAGGACTTTACATAATTGTCCTCCCTGTTTGAACACAGGAAATGTGATAATAAC